ATTTAATGGACTGGAAGGGATATTGACGTTTCCATGAATGGATTGCTAAGGCATTGTTCCTGAAACTGTAAACCACTAAAAATCAACGTTACGAAATCGAAATTTTATGGTAGCAGACACAAACAAAGCGAAAAAAATCTGATACGCCTTCGCGAATGTCCTAAAGATTGTTCGCAGCCTCTAATGGCCACGTTTTTCATACGACTGCGAATATATCAAGGAGATTATGTCCGCCGGCGTGATGTATATCTAGCATCAAAGCGCAATAAAAACGCCACATTTCAAATGGGCGCCATCATTTTCCATTTTAAGCAACGGTGGATCACGGTACCCTTGTCAGATGGCCCTAAATCCTACCCGGGAGGGCGAAATCCAACCGCCGCCGGTGGGGGAGATTGAAGGGCCGAGATTTACCCGTTATGTATGCTGAATTTGTTATACATTACGTCGGACACGAGAGACATATTGTTTTCGGCCTTACATGCTAGCTACTGATGCCCAGAAACCTCATAGAATTCCCATTTAAGCCCATCAGGAATCAAAGGCTTTATAGCAATATAAATTTTAAAATAAAAGTAAATTTAAACACTTTTCTAGTTACAAAGTTGTTCGTAAATCTTCATAAAGACCACCAAGAGTGTTATAACAAACACAAACTTATTGGAGTAAAGTGTTCCCTCTAGTAGTAAAACAGAGTCGTACAAAAAAGTAAAGCAAAAAAACAACTAAAGCGAATCCATAAAAACTTTCGTCGTAGTAAAGATAATCAAAATACATTCTCCGGCGTGCAGGACACTTTCAGGACAATAATTCTTCGGCGGTCGCCTTGGACGCGACGACTATAATTCTTTGGCGAGGCCCTTTTTCCCGATTTAGCCGGCCAAAGTCCACCAGAAAACATACATTTAGCGGAGTTTAAGTTTCTTTTAAAAGTAAGTTCTCGTGGGGGCCGCCACCGACGCGGTGATACGAAGTCAAACTGTAGTTCGGCGGTTACGAGGGGCAGTTCGGAACCTCGGGAATCCATAACAGTAAATATCAAAGGCTTGCACAGCCCGTTTAAGACCCACCCCTTCCTGTAACGGTTTAAGCGGGTTACTCTCGCCCCCAAAACTTTGAACCAACTCCTCCAGTATAGCCGAGAAATAAATTAACGGAAGTGAAGGATCCCATTTTGAACGTTTTAACACAATGAACTAATTTCTTAATTATGTCGGTTTCTTTTTATAAAAATGAAAACGACACCTTTTTGAATAAGTTGAATTCTGAAAACACCTCCATCACCGCAACCCCTAAAAACCGGTTGCTCTTTGACGGGGTTACACCAACTGAAATTGTACAAAAGGAGGCGGGTAAAGGAAACGTCTGCCTTTCATGTTTTGGTCTCTTTTCAATTAGCTCCGGCTCCACCCTCAGTGATAATTGGTGTTCCCAAAGACGCGATTTTCACCCTCTCCCCTTGGCCCGATAGTTAAATTAGAAGAGGCTTCATTGCTCCTAATACACTTGCACAAGTTGAATTATGAATGAGCAGTTAGCGTCGTACACGCGGGGTTATTACCGCGAGTGGTAAGACAATTACACGCCCGAGAGGAAGGAACTTAATAATTCATCCCGTGTCCCGAGCATTGTGCCTAAGTACCTATACTTAGGAGGGAGTCGCGGAGGATGACAAAGTTGCGCGGGGTAAAGACGACGTTGCGACGCTGCTCTCCAGGATACACTTTTAGCCGGGGCGATCGTTACGCGTTGTACCCCTCTCGTCCAAGGTCGTAAATTATGGAAGTTTGGACGTGCCGCACCACTTACTATACGGTAGACATTAGCTGCATAAACTGCTACCAGAATTTGAGATTAGCCGACATCAACTTGGAATAAAAAATAATCACCAAAACGTAAACATCGCCTAAAAACTCGATGTCAGCAAAAAATTGTTGGCATTTAATAAACTTGCTCCTTGACTTTAATGGTCCGTATATAACTAAAATATCCGTAATTGAATCTAGGATGTACCGAGGTCGAAGTTGTGCAGAATTTCCGATCTGTATCCCATGGAAAACTGGTGCTGGCAGCTTGGCGCAGTGCAGGAAGGTCGAGGAGGGAGAATATAACCCCCAAGGGGTCTTTATAGAGTCCCGAAGGAATTCGACATTACACGGCGAATTATTCCGGTAGCCTGGCGACTTCGTTCGACAGAGTTGCTTGTTTAATTGAATTCCATTGTATGTTAAACTTGTTTTAAGGCCATAGTTGTGTACGGTTTTATCATACTTGCGCGCGGAAACGACAGATAAAACTTCGTTCCGGTTCGGACTGGTTCGGACCGGACTTCTTCTTTGGATCTTTTTCGAGCGCAGATTCCGACGGTCGGCGCTGTCTCTGTTTTACTTTTGCCCGGGCTTTTCAATTTTTATAAAGGCGACCCTAATTGGGACCCGGTCTCTACTTGTAGTAGAAAACTTTGCGGTGCTTCCTGCGTTAGACAAAATGCGCTCGTTTACTTCAAAAATTCTCCCAACGGAAAATTACTTTTCGACCGGGCTAGTTTTCGAACTGCTGCACAAACAAGAGTTTTTACATTAGTTCTGTGGTTCTCGACGTCGTCGAGTCCTTTCACAAAAATTTCACCAACGCAAATAAACAAAGTCCGTTGAAAATTACGCAGATCTATCCAAACTTGAAAAGTCGAATTACCTCCAAATCCCATTTTACTTATTACTGTTGGAATAACAAATAAACTGCATCATCGCGTATTTGCACATTTTTGTAAGTGCTTCTTTGAAACGGTCTCGTTATCACATAAAAGAGATGCAAAGATCTGGTGAAGTAGCCCATAAAGAGACATATAAATATTTAATTTGCCCGGAGAGACCGACCCAAAGCACGTATGTAAATCGTTTTTTCCTCTTGATACACGTACACTGACGACGCATTAATCGAATAACCCGGAGTGTGTAAATGAACACGCTTTTGTCTTAATGTGCGAAGGCATAACGCAGGCTTTTATTATGCACATAAATTACAACGTCGTCGGACCCTCACTTGGATCCTAACTTCATACATATGTAGCGATGGTCGTTATGCCGTTGCATACCAAGTAGCTTCAATCTGAAGATGAGCAACAAATTTCGGGCACTCATTTCAGCACCAGCTGTAAATGAACTACTGACCGTCAAGTTATAAACATCTCATCAGGACTTGGTTCAAAAGCAATTACTAAATAACTTCAAAGTAAACTTTAAAAAAATTTATGTCTAAATTATTTATATTATATGTAGATGTTTTTAAAAATTTTTTTGTCAATAATGATTTTATATTCCAAATTATTTTTACTTATAGTTAATATAACTTAAAGATTCATGTTTTAATTGAAATAAGCTACTTGCAGATCCAGTAATCACTGAATCAGAACTTTATCAAAATAGATGATGACTTCATCTTGCAAGTTAAAAAGTTCTGCCACAACATTTTATGCCCTGATAATATTAGAGATCGCACCAAGTCAAAATCAATAAATATAGAAAGAGTAAAGGAGTAGGGTGGTGAATGACTGCATTTTGACATCACAGAGTGATTGTTTTCGCAGATTTCTCATAAAGTCAGAAGAAGCACAGAATATTTAGGGACTCAAGGTCCTACAATAACACTTCATTCTCTCTCTTGTGCGGAAGGGATCAATTGTAGAGATGTGAAGATCTTAATCTGGATAATGCCGAGGCAACGGATAGTTGAAACAATATGGGTTTAACCACAGTAGACTAAAAATAGGAAAATTCATAGATTTAACATTTTCTTAAAATAAAACTAGTTATTAAAAATGGACTAACTTTAACAACGAAAAGTAACGATTTTTTTAAACCAAAATTTTCCTACACTGAACACTAATTGTAACTAAATTACACAGCGGCCATTAAAACGAATGATTAATGACTAAGAGTTGCCGTTACTAAGAACAATTTGTTATTGTGTCCGATTAGATAAAAATTATAGCAGCGAAGCCTAGGGCGTAATTAAGAAATTGCAAACTCGCAAAATTAATACGCAAAACCTCACATTTCGCACGACCAACTAAATAAACAGTTCGGCAATAACTATTTCGTGCAATTACTTCGTGGTGCACAAGTTTTAATTAAAGACCCTCGACGCTTGCAGTCAAATAAATTTTATGGCATGCATGACACAAAATGCACCACCTTATGCGGCGCACAGTTATTGAATAAATTGTTAGGTTAAGTGCTTTTAAGAAGTCGGTAAAAAAAGGTTATAATTTTTTCTGGGTGTGCTTCATTTAAATACCAAAATACCAAGCGATATTTCACACGAAGGTTATCTAAATCATTTACATTAACGTTTATATAAAATTCATAATGTAACGTCAAAATTGCAAACCGGATATTACTTATTAATTTAAACAGCTTAATATTAACATTGTTAAAATGAGTTTAATCAATCCCGAAATAGAAGAACATAACAAATAGCAGAACCGTAATAACAGCATTAATGTGATTAATTGATTTTGTAAACGTATTCATATATGGATTCTAATTAATAACCGATTAGAAATAAATATAACCGTACGAAATTCAATATGCAAATGTAGGGCGATAATAACGCGGTACTTCGCGATAATTGAAATTTTCGCCCAAACAGAGGTTCGTTAACTAAATAATGGAATAACCAAAAAGTTGTTTAGTTTATTAAAATTTTTAATTCCGTTTAAAATTTAAAAAAAAATAAATAAATGTGGGTTTGGTGTTGTTCTTCTTTCAAGATACCTTACACAACAAAGTTATGCTAAATATCGAATACCGTAGACACATCCTAATAACCATATCAACTTTCCCAATTACGTCAGCTCGTCGTTATAATTTATTCCCATGAACTTTACAAGTGCAATTCATAAAGATCTTCGAGGCCTTGGCGATTTTCATCTTCTTTTTCATCATTTGGAATCGGAGTGGTATAAATACTGGGAAGTGTCACGATTATGAACCAGTTCGGTGAAACGTTCAAACTGTGAAAAGATGAAATCTGTTGTAAGTTTATACTACGTGACTCATTAAAAAAACATATTTATATAAAACAAATTTTTTTAGGTACTTTTATCCTTCGTCCTTACTGCTGTAGTAGCCGATGTGGCGTTTTTGAACTACAATAGAGGGCAAAACCTACAACGTGGAGGTGAAATTCGCATTCTTAAACAGAATCAGGAAATTGACCCAGCCGGAAGTTACAATTACGCTTATGAAACTGAAAATGGAATTAACGTTAGAGAAGAAGGACAATTGATTCAATCTAGATCTTCTCAAGAACCTGGAACAGCAGCTCAAGGATCTTATAGATATACATCTCCCGAAGGACTCCCCGTTGATATCGTTTATGTTGCTGATGAAAATGGGTTCCAACCACAAGGAAATGTCCTTCCAACACCTCCAGCTCCACCTGCGATTCCTCCAGCGATTTTAAGAGCTTTGGAATGGAATAGAGCTCATCCTGAAGAAGAACGACCACAACAACAACAACAACGTTACAGGTTTTAAGGATAATTGAGGAAACGATCATGTTTTATTTATGTCAAACATTTCTTGCCTTTATTATTTTTGTGTTTATTATGTTGTGTAATGTGTATATTTCGGCAAATAAAATTGATAAGTAATATGAAATCTATATCTGTCCAATTTGACGACCATTTCGTCGTTGAAGGCAATGAAGCGAATCCGCGAAATGGGTAGATGGATTAATCCTCGGTTGAGCGTCCCGAAAATGTTTCATATTAATCTTAAGGGGTCGAGGATATGATGGATTGCGAAGACGCAGAGATAACTCGGTCAGCTGAAAAGTTTCATTCAACTTTGGATGGGGTATTTTTACTTTTCACCACTCTCGAGGGTAGTTTCGATTTGACCCATTTGTCAAAAGTATTCTCGATTTTATTTTTTCAAATTAATTAAAAACAAAAAGAATCTAAAAAAATTTTGATGGAAAGAATTGAAAAATCTAATCAGAAGTATAAGTTTTTTTTTCTTTATGTCGATATAACGAGAAGAAGAAGGGTCCTAACTCAAATATTTGAAGGAAATATTCGCCTACACGCGGGGGGAAACTTGCGGGCGAAAATTTAATATTAGCCTTTGTCAATTTACCCTTCCCAACTTACAAAAACATTTCCTTCATATACCAGAAACTCCTATAAAAAAGTATATAGGCGCCTTTTTACTAAATAACTCTTTGAAATATTTCCTTCTTGTAACGAAAAACTTTTTATACCTAAAAAAAGAAGGAAAATATCTCAGAGAAAGGTAAAGTTGACGTCGCCAAAGTTCCATGTCTCAGTATATCTCCCCCAGATAAGTGACTTATGATAACGGAAAGTTTCCTTGAAGATGTTTTTCTGTATTTATATTAAAATAGGAACATCTTGAAGTGGGAAATTTTATAAGTCACAAAGCAGTCAAATTATAATCCAGACAATTTTCTGCGCGAAGGAACGTCATCAAATCCAAAATGCATTTCGCAAAGAGTGGTGGCAATAGGGAAAGATCCGTAACCGATCTCATAAATCCGTCAATAACACGCAACTACACTTCGCGTTCGAGACGGAAATAAGGGTGAGGAACTGAATTGGATTTATTTTCTTTCTTTTCTCACCCTCCTCCCCATTTAATTCCGTTACGCCACCACTCCACCGTATTGACTGTGCGAGAGATTCCAATCTACTACTACCGAAATCCAGGAACCGTTTGCTCCACTTGTTTTTGTCGCACCGATTCCCATTAAGGGTCCTTTGTCCCGCGATTCCACTCATTATGTTAATACGTCCAAGAAGGGGACGGGGAACGAGGCGGCGAGACGGTAATTCGTTTCTGGAGTCGTCGAGCCGAGAAGTTCCCGAACAGGATCATCCGTCATTGTGTTATATTAATTACCCCCCGACTACGCCCGAGGGCAAAGTTCTGCTGTACTTTTCGAGGATGAGAGTTCGGATGCATCCGAAGAGAAGCGCTAAATTTAACTACTTTTGCAAATTGAATTGGGAAACTCTAAGTAAAGGGTTTGTATCACAGCTGCTATATGCAAATTTTCTTACTATCAAAACGTGTAAGATCTCAAGTTATGTTATACGATTTTAAGTATCTACAGGGTTGTCAAAATTAATTATATTCAAAAAACATTTTGATTCAATTCAACTTTTCAACCAACTCTGTATGGAATATCTATATAAAACCAATTTTCAATAGCTCAATTAGTTCATGAGATATTATTTGTTAAAAAAATGTAATCTTTGCAAGTAAAAATAAAAAAAAAATAGAAATCTAAAAGTTTATTTGTGACTATGACATTATTAACCCTTTAAATTCCATGGAAAATTCCGGGATGGCACATTCGATAATGCACCGTCAGAATTTTACGAGAACACTTTTTACTGTAAGTCTTCGGACAGCTTCATAAGTTATTTTTTCCCGGTTCGATGGGGTGGTGTGGGGGGATACTGGGGTAAAGTGGGGGCGGACGCCGGCGCCGATATTGAAAATCCCCAGCGTGGAACGACGCCTCCAGCTGCGCTCGGCAGGTATAATGTCGCGGTCCGGATATGAATTCAACATTCGGTTTTTCATCAGACCACTTCCCAGGCCTGCGAGCACCAACGACAAATAATGAAAGTTTTCCCGGACGCGTTGGGTTATATTACTAAAATGCGCCAAGTTTGCGAATTGTTTTGCAAGGGGGCTTTTTTGTTTACAAAAACACGATTTTATCATTAAAGCAACATTAATACTCAAAATAATAAAGCTTTTGGATCGTGTACAATTTCGTTTGATCTTGTTAATAGGATTAAATATGTTTTAAAACATTAGGTTTAGTTACACGATGTTAAGTTAGTTAGGAGTTTGAGAAAGTTTCTAAGACGATTACAGCTATTATTTTTAAGGAGGTTTAAAAATGTATCTCCTTGTTAATATAAGCAAAAATAATATCAAGCAGACGTTTTAAAGTAGAAAGTGTGATATTGCGATCACGTAGGTAAAAGCTAAGTAGTCGATCAATTATTAACAACCCATCTGCACCATAACAATAAATAACTGAGAGAGCAACTTGGGTATAATCGTGAATAATACATGCTGAAATGAATCCACTTAGAGCCTTCCCCTAAGCAAGATCGGTGGAAAACCGATTTTTCATTGAGAAAAAATTAACAATTTTTGAGTAACAAAAATCCCCTTATTATATTTTCCAATTACGATGAGTACGTAGTTGAGGGGCTCACGACCAAGCAGGGTGGTAAAGAAATTTATGTGTCGTCATTTATTATGGGGTGTGGCGAGACCACAGCTCCGATAATTAATATTCTACCCTACGGAGAGAAGAGGGCGTCCGTCACTAAGGGTTGAAAAAGAGGGCCAGATTGCGACGGGGCCCCGGGATAAATGAAGAACAACCGCCGGAGCCGATGGGCTCACATACATCTTCATTTTCTGCCGGTTGATTTCTTAAACCTGAACCGTAATTTAATCTTACCTATACTTTATCACTGTACCTACTTTTACACTTTTCCAACGTATTTTTCTTAATTTTATTCATTTTATTTCGTCTAACAAAAAATCTCGTTAAAAAATAACCACGGAATATTTACTATTAAGACTTGCTTGTTAGCGTCTTGTAATTAAGGTGAAACAGCTACGAAATTGCGTCTTCTAATTAATTTAGGAGCCGAAAAACGATAACGAAGAGGAAAAAATTTTAATTTTCTGTACTGTCAATTAGGTATTAAGTAGACGATGACGTAAATCCCTGTTCTCAATTTCAAAAGAATAAAAACAGACTTAAATTTTATTGAAATAATTAAAAAATGAACTGAGTAGAGTTTGGTGGAAAAGTTATAAGAGGAGGAGCCCCTTAAATTTATTTATTTTCTTTTTCACATCTATTCGAAGTTCGCAGAGTAATCCATCACAGCCATGGCAATTTGATTTTTTCGCGTATCTCCTCCGGTTATAAAAGTTTCAGGGAATATTTTGCAATTTCCATTCCCCGCGTTTGAGTTATGGCTGTTTGCGCTTATTGCGACGGATGCATAAATCAAAGAAAACTCAGAAAAAAATATTGTGAATATTCTTTAAGAAGCTGTAACAATACGCGCAAATCCGACTTGAAAAACAGGAAAGTTTCGAACTCCCGTTGTTTACGTAGAGAGGAATATACGTTGTGAAAAGAGTTTATTTTTCAGTTGGACGGTCGCGGTTGCGATTCAATGGGGTAAAAGGTCGATTCGCACTCGATAGATTTCGAAAGCCCTCCGGGGAACGTCGCGACGGCAAACATCAAAATATTTGCCCCTCGTCAACGCGCTCCTTATAAATACATCAGCCAAGTAATGCTTGGAAAAGTTTTTTCCTTCACGACCAAAATCCCATATCACCTTTTATTACGATTCATCGAGGCGACGCGGAGACCTTCGAAATTTAATAACCGCTTAACGTGCAAGAAAGTTACACGTCTACGACGATGATGACGACGACACACGTCACGTTTCGGCGTTTAACTTCATAACTTGCCAACTAACTTAAACTAAATTCCATTACTTCTAAGTGGGTAATATCGGGAAAATGAATATGGTTGTTTTTGGAAGTTGGACCGCGCAAAATATGCAACTTTCGTCGTCTACATATCAAAACTTAGGCAATTCAGGCTAAGCTGCAAATTGCCTCCTTCTGCCAACCTCTTTTTACTCCCTTTGCATCTTTCCCAGGGTAACAACGTAACACTCACCTCAAACTATGCTAAAGTTCTCGTAGATTTAGAATGTTATCGTAACTAAACAATTATTTCATTTAGAATACGTGTACTTAAAACATTTGTTATTAATTAAAATAATCATTAAGATTATTATTTTTGTTTGCGTTATTAATTAATAAATCTATTTCATATAAATAAATGTCGGTGTTGTACAGCTAAATTCACTATAACAATTGGCTCAGTGAATATAATATATTTCCATAGTAACCAGGACGTGCCTAAGTAGGCTTAGTGCCACATGCTAGTGATAGTGGTAGATAGTGCTAGTTAACATAAGATATCACTATGTTGCATATTTTTATTGCACTAAAACTAGAACAAACACTAGACCTAGAACTAACAGAAAATCTAGAACTAGAATCATTCGGGTTTAGCCGTCTTGAGAGACGTCCGGCTAAATCCGAGTGTTTCTAGTTCTTGGTCTGGTGTTAGTTCTAGTATTACACCAGCATTATTACTAAAACTAACACAAGATCTAGAACTAGAATCATTCGGGTTTAGCCATCTTGAGAGACGTGCGGATAACTCCGAATGTTTCTAGTTCTTGTTAGTTCTAGTGTTCCACTAGCACTATCACTAGAACTAGAACTAGCAGTATCACTAGAACTAGCACAAGACCTAGAATTAGAATCATTCGATTCTAGCCGTCTTGAGAGACGTGCGGCTAAACCCAAATGCATCTAGTTCTAAGTCTACTGTTAGTTTTAGTTTTAATTGTTATTCAGCGTTAGATTGTGGGATATTTTTATTGAACGAAAAGTAAGCCTGGCTTACTTAAGCTGAGATAACAAGCAATATACCAATGGACCAACGACCATTGGCAAGGAATATTGGTATAGGTTGGGTTTGTATACCCATATCAAAGACT